GAAGACAAAATCCAACTTATCAACAAAGATGGATTTTTCAGAGAAGATTTCGCAAAAGATTTTTTGTTAGAAAAATTAATTAAATCACCAGAAGAAACACAGACTGTAGATGAAAGACTAACTAGATTAGATAAAATAGTTGATGAATAAAAAACGAGTAATGATAAGATACTAGAAATTATACAAAGATTTTGTAAAGACTAACAAATTTTATTTTATTCATTTATTATTTAATTAATTTATTTATCTCGTGTGTTGTTTAATCTATTATTTATTGAAAATTATAAATAATTACAACTGTATAATCCATTTAGAAGTGAATTCATTTTCATCATTTTTTATTTAAAGACTAAATCTTTGAAGTTTTCTTATAAAAATACCAGTTGTCCTCTCAACAACACTCTCTGTGGTATTAGTAAATCATTATATCTTGACTGATCATCATTCAATATACTTTTAAATTGTTTTTGAATATAATCAAAACTTGGATATGCTGCATCGCCCAATATATGATAGTTTAAGTTGGTATCAACAAAAATATTATCACGTCATTCTTTAAATTTTGACAACTTTAACACATTTGAATCATTTGATGATCTAAATTTACCACCAAAAAGATATCTTATTTTAAAATTTACATCAGCCACTATTAAAAAATTTATAGTTACACGTCCTTTTGTGTTCATAAATTTTCCTCTACTATTAGTTGGATAAGTTATTGAGATATGTGTACCATCTATAACTAATATAGTAATAGAAAAATTATAATACAACATTTATTTGATAATTGATTAAATTATTCAATGTTAGGTAGTTTAATATAATCATTTTTAAACTTTAATATTATTTCAACAACTTCTTTAACATATAAATACAGTGTTAAAATTTATATACCAAATTTTGATACATAATCTCTATATAATATTATTCTCCCTATAAAATATAAAAATACAAGAAATTTATATTGAAAAATTACTAACGATGTATTTGAATGTGTATAAAATATTCTTATAAGTAAAATAATTGATTCTCTGTTAAATCCAAAATTTTTGTTGATTTGTAATACTAGACCTTTCGTTAAAATTTCATCTGACTAACTTCTAGAATGAAAATAAGTTTCATTGATATATCGTTTACATATTATGTATTTTTGTTATCATAAGAAAGTAAAAATATAGTTATAATTAATTTTAATCTTTTATTAATAGGTTGTAATTTTTTAAAAAAATTAAATAAAAAAACTATAGTAAAATTTTTTTTGAGTTAATTTATTTATTTTGTTCGAAAAACTTAACATGGTTGAATTTTATGATGGTTAATTCATTTTATTATAGTAAAATTTCCAAATATACCTTAAAATTTATATATAATAAAAGATTATTAAAGAAATGTTTTGTCTAATGAGTTTAGATGAATGTGTTTGCTTCCAAAGGAAGAAATTTAGTGAAAGAAGAATAAAAACGACTATTTTATAAATACATATTATTAGATAAAAACGTAGTTTTAGAAATGTTATGCTTAGGGATGGTTAAAATAACGGTGTAATAACATTAGAAATTATTTAAAAAATAAAGGTGCGATTTTATATGCTAAGATTTTTTATTAATGTCTTAAAACCAACTAATTTTAAAAATTAGAGTAATATTTAATTGTTCAGCAAGATAATAATCAATAGTTTTTAATATGCTACCAGACAAATAGATATTTTAAAAATATTATAAATTTTTTTAATCATTTTCCTCAGACTTTGAATCTCTATTTAATTTAAATTCTATACCAATATTTGAAATTACTTTTATATAAGTTAGTTTAGAATTCATTTACAAAATTTTTTGATCAGTATTATAGTTTTTAATTATTTGCTTAATCATATATATTCAA